GTAACAGTTCATTTGCATGTCCAAGTGTGTCAGCAAAAGTATACGCAGCTGCGAGACCCGTCTTTTTCTCATCTAACAATTGTACACTACCATTATCTGTACTTCGCATTGAGTAGGATGTAAAGTTTTTTTTAAAACTCAAAGTCTTATTTAGGTCAAAAGATTAACATTTTTGCGCTTTACAATTTCAGCCGAGGGGATCTCTCGTGCATTTGGCTCAGAAACATGCAGCGTGGTAAACACAAAAGTTATATCAAGATACAAAAGCGTAGGAAGGAGTATTCATAAAAAAAATAATAATAATTAATGGGGACATTTTATTACCTTTTTTTATCTCTACTGATTTCTTTGTAAAATGCATATAGAAGTGTGTGTGTGTGTGTGATGGAGTGCGCCGATTGGTTGGGGAAAAGCGCCCCAACCAATCACATCGCAGCATATTCTCCAATCGACAATTGCTGGAGTTGGAAATTGTGATTTTTTTTGTCTATCCAGTCTTCTGCAAGTCTGCGTAACCCTGTATCATCGTCACCATCATCAACTTGTCAGATGAACAACTCCACCGCTGCGACTGAGATTAGCATTTCGAGTTGGGAGTTTGCCCACTCCCATCCCATTGTAGCCCTCCTTTCCATCTCCTATGCGACTATTTTCATTGCAGGACTGCTTGGCAATTTTGCAGTCATAACTATTGTTTTACGCAACCACCACATGCGCTCAGTGACTAACATCTTCATCTGCAATTTATCAGTGGCGGATCTACTTGTTACAGTGTTTGTGGAGCCCTTAACCCTCCTCCAGAATATTGTTGTGGGTACGTCACTTGAGCATATGCAAATTATTTTAAGGTTAAAAATTTCCAGATAGAGCAGTTGAATAAAACCCCATGCCCCAATTCGCGTATCAGACCACTGAGAAACGGATTTTCTTTGCGTCACCGCATGCATTATTAAAGAGAAGGAAAGGTTCGCTGGCATAGATGTGCTATTGTTCCTGGTTGCCAACTAACAAAACATCTCTTTTTTATAAAATTAAGCAAGTCAGGTTGCGTCAGCTCTTACGAATTATAGACTACTATTTGGGAGTCGAGGGAGTGCTTTCAAACTACTTCTTCACTCCATTAAAGCGCATTCTAGTTGCGTCAGGCGGACGGATGGACGAATATGCTTTCATTAAAGCAATAGCGTGTGGACCAACTTATGGAAAAAACATACTTTTACGTCTCAACACATGTCGACAGTGGCAGCGGATGTGTTCCTTTACTCATTTAATGGGATTTGATATGCCATTAGCTTACTCGTGGACATTTAATCGCGAGGTTG